TTTTAATTCAATGTGGAGCCTTTGCTCGAGCCATCGGGGTAACCACTTTTCTTCAATAAATAAAATATACAATATATTGTTGCGAGTTGACCGGGATTATTATATGAATGTTTACAAGAGTTGAAAGAAAGTGGCTATTCAGAGGACCATATGCGAACAAATGGTATCTAACGCATTTTCTTGAAGCTCACAAGATGTATTTATAGCAGCAATAAATTAATTGTTGAAGTAGTGACGGCTGAGATATTATGAATTAGCAATTAATTTTGTTTATAATTATATTGTATAACGTCATGATTATCACCTCTACCATTTATTTTACAGTGATTCATTTATTCAGGAAGGTTTTGTGCAATGATTGTCATAAGAAAGACTATAACTGAGACGTTTCGGCCCTTTGAAACCACCACCCTCTGAAGCACTTGGGAGGGAAGAGGAGAAAGGAAGAGGGGAGGGGAATTTTTGCCCCTCATTAGAGGATTTTGTGGTCTGGAAAGATTGTGGCTTGGGACGGTAGTGGGGAGGAATAGTGAAGTGTAAAGGGGCTTACAGTGAGGCGGGCTGCGCGTCTAAGAAAGTAAATCAACGAAATGTCAATTATTCTTGATTTAATCACAAAATTATTTGCTTTAGTTTCACACAAATTTTTTGTATATTGACTTCTATCTACCATAAGAATTCTCATTAAGAAGTGCATGGTATACCGATCAGTGAAGAATAATAATAAGTAGTTAATTAAATCTACGTACATCAAGAAAATTGTAGAAAAGTCGCGCGTTTCTCGAGCATAATGATGCAATATTTTATCCTTCCTGATAACAGTTAAAGTACAAAGGTTGCAAAATTGGGAGCGCAGCCGTGCACCTCCAATTTTGTGCACCAATAAGCCTGAATCGAACGCCTTGGATCTCTCCTGACCTACACCAATCAGCCGTGCACCACTTGGCTTTGTCCTCTTCCGGCCTTGACCACCACCTGCCGTGCACCGCTATAGGCCGCGGATCGAATATGGCTTCCAGGCATCGTTAAATTACGTAATTTTACGTTCACCGCATCTGAGGTTAGGTTTCAGATAGCATAGTTCTGCTCCAAAATCTATCGTCCTTCGACATGTGGCCGAAGGCTGTTTCGATCCACATCCTAGATACGGACGGCTTGAAGTGTTGAAGGCTACGTTCCGGAAGGCAGGAATCATAATGGTCCATTACATCCAGGGCAGTGGTGGTCTTCGGCAGGCGACCCGCAAAATTTATCTTTACCTACACATTGACATTGAGTGCGGTACGGCCCACCGGTGGTCGTGCCACCGGTATGATATACGCTAGATATGAATAAAAAAGGTCGAATAACATTCCAAGTGTCAGACTTCTATCTTATTTAATGCTAGGTTATTGTTTGAAAAACTATTAAAGAAACTATAGGACTGAACGTGTTCTGACGCTGACTTACGGACTATGGATTTAAACACTTGACTTCTCTACCCGGAAGCATGCCTGTGCATGTGAAGGAATATAATAGTGAAGGTGGTATTTGGTTTTGCTGGCTACAAAAATCCGTCCCAATTCAAGAACGTATTACCGCGTCATCCTGTCTCAACGTTGAAGTCTTAACTGGACAATGTGATATCGCTCCATTCGCTACGATGCCAGGTAAAATCGGATGGGCTAATTTTGTAATTAGGCCGAGATCGGGTTCAAATTTCCGGAATTTGGCATGGTTGTTATCGGCTAATCGCACCTCCATTACCAATACAAATGAATCCCATAAAAGAGTTATGGAAATATATGTGCTTTATTTACTAAAATAAATTATTGAAAAAACGAATAACGTAGCTTCGTATAGTCTATGATGCAGTTTTAATTTAACTTTGATAGATCGTGATTATTGACAGATGATGAACATCCGTATTCCCGCTATTCCGTACACCGAACTACCCGCTACCGTAACAAGGGAAACGTTGGATTTATTCATTAATAACTAATTTTTTACCGGTCGATTATCTACCATGTAGCTGGTAAAATGCACTGGATTAAACTGTGATTTGCCCTAAACAAGAGAATTGTTGATAACAAGGAGAGCTCATGCCAGCAAAGAAGGAAATGAAATTAAGAGAAACACGCTGAAGACTTCAACTAAATAACTATTGCTGAGTCCAGGTGTTACAAGCGGTCAACGTGCGACTTCTTTTTCACCTACAACCCGCGACCACCACCACCTAATAACTAATTTATCAATCATTTAAGTATTTGTTTTAATATTGTATCGTTCTAGATTTATATGAAACTTGTACAAAATAAAATTTCTGTGCTCACTTTTTATTGGATAGACCCCGTGGATTTCAACAGCGAATAATGTAATGGTACAAAAATCACAGACTGCCGTCATTACTCATTACCCGAAAGGCTGAAACTATGTTTTCTCGACGCTAAAAGGAAAGAAAATGTCGAGCAAGGGGAAGGGGTAAGGAGTAGTTGGTGGTCAAGTAAGCAAGTTTATTCAGAGGTGGATATGCAAATAGAATGATTTAATAAAATTTCAAATGTTCATTCAAGATATAAGTTAGATGAATTCTGCATTTCATTTCAACATAAATGATAAACCTTTCAATAGTTTACTTTTCTCATAATCTCATTCCATTCTCTTCTTGAAAATTATAGTAATTACTGTATTTTTATCAATAGCAGCCAGATGGCCATGGCTGTTCGCTGTTGCACTGCCTGCCCAGGCTGCCCTGACACAGCCTTGTTGTTGTTGTTGAGTTGGCTACTTGGCTTGCAGGCATATGAAATGTTATAGACTTGAAGCCTAGGTAATTATAGATTATTCCAATATATTCCATCAAGACTCATGTCTGGGCCAAATAGTATTTAAATTTGCAGTGGGCTGAGGTTGTGGCAATGTGGCATAGTCATAGTGGCTGAGGGCCTGAGAGTCTGAGACTACCCATGAATTGCCGGCATGAAGATTTATGAATAGAACATTAATGCCTGTAAGGCTGTGGCCCCTGTGGCATAGTGGCAAAGCAGAGAGTTTTTTAGACTCTTCCTCAAGTTCATTTTTGAGTCCTATAAGTAGACCAGTAAAGTATCTTGGATACCAGAATTATCATACATAAGAAATCTGTTAAAATCTTAAGCAAATGAGGAAATTAAAAATGAACTGATTCTAAACAATCACTGGTTTGCCACTATGCCCTGTGGCGACTGGCGTGTGGACAGTGGACTGTGGCCTGTGCTTGCAGCTTGCCACGTACCCACGTTGCCCGTTGGCATTGCACTTTCCAGAGTTGCCAGAGGCCCAGAATGCAGAGTACAGACAATTTCATATAATTTTATAGCCCTTGCTCTGCTTACTTAGTTACTTTCTTTATTGAAAAATAAGAAATTATGTGAAAGTGAGTGAAGCCATCATTTTTGCCAAATTGCTTGTGGTATTTGGAAAATTTATGTCAACTGAGGCTGAGGCTGAGCTACTATGAAGCATGAAAAAGCCAGAAATAAACCAATTATGAATATAATTTACAATTTTTCATTATTTATTTTTATAAATGATTGCCCATATTGTTAAGGCAAGAACCATTAACTCGTTAAAACTAGTAGTACTAGTACTAGTAGTAGTATATTAATGTCAAAGCTCTGCTCTGACTTTGCAGTTTGCTTTTAAAACTAAAGGAGTAAATATCTAAATATCTAAGTAATGAAAAATGACAAAAGGACAGATCAATAGAGGAAACACTTTAAGCAAGATATAAAACCATAACCTTACTGAAATTAATTATAACCATAAGAAAATGTAACTTAATTTCATAACACTATCATTCATGAACTAAAATAAAGGAATTAAAGTGCAAGCCGCAAGGGAAGAAAGAAAATAAAATTCATTTAATTAGCCAATTAACATCAATACAATTAAAATAGGGTAAACGCGGTATATTCCGACATCATAGGTAATTCCGTCACTTCTCTAGTTTTTCCTTTATATTAAGCTTTGTTTTAGTTCCATGCGTAGTAATGAAAAATGACAAAAGGACAGATCAATAGAGGAAACACTTTAAGCAAGCTATGGAACCATAAGTTTACCAAAATTAATTGTAACCATAACAAAATGTAACTTAATTTCATAACGTTATTACTACCAATGAACTAAAATAAAGGAATTAAGGTGCAAGGGAAGAAAGAAAATAAATTCATTTAATTAGCAAATTAACATCAATACCATTACAATAATATCAAAGACACAACATAACTAAATTATCTATAGATGATTAGTAATGACATTAATATAACATACATAGGTACCCTATAACATTTGTATTAAATGAAAAATATAGAAATTTCAATTGAGTTGAACTGAGTAATGAATGAAATATGATTATTGATAAAGAAAGACTTGAAGGTTGGGCTACACAGTAGCCCAATTCAACCCCTGATAATGGCAGCTTACATCATATAGAATCTTATTTATATATTTTTTAAAGTCTGTAAGTTTGCTGCTGGGACTTTCCAAATGCATATCCAAGATTCTCATTGTGGTTAGATATTACCTGGACGTAGAAAATTTCATTGAAAAACTGGAAAATTTTATTCATTCAGTATAGAAAAATGAATTTTTTTTTTTAATTTTAGGCAGATGAGGGTTAAATGTTTCATATGAAACGTGAGTTTGAACTTTCCTTTCCTTGATAAGGACACATTCATACTCATTAACAGAATTTCAGATGCTAGATATTAAAATTTTAGGAATCATCTATCCTTGATTATTTATATTATATATATCTGCTAATTTTGAAATTACAGTCACCTCTTTAAATGCACTTGAAACAAATAGGGGTAATGAGTTTGTTATTAAAAATGGGTGACTTTGCAATAATAATTACAATGGCAGCAAGATGACTGAGCTGTAAAGAGCATAGGCCTCATGACAACAATGCTATGGATAAATCTTTAGAAATTATATGCAATTAGGTAAGATTCTATGCCTAAGCATTATTTTACTTTCCAGATTTTTAGTAGAATTATGTCTGTTGAGGATAGAAGCAAGAGTAGTGTTGAAGGAGAAAATGATGGAACTGAAATATCTCAATCAGTTAACTTTGATGACAATCATTTGGAGTTGTCTTCAGCAGTGACCATTGAATCTGATGCCATTCAAGCATCAATAAATGATTCATCCTTGGCTGCAAGGATTCCTCTGGATGAGGAACAAGCTGAGATGAGGACCACAGTATTATCTTCGCCAAAAATAAACGTGAAATCTGACAATGCTGCTGGTATTATAAACCCTAGGGATGATACTACATCAAATAGCTTGGATATTCCTTCTGTAGTTCCATTAAATGTCAGTGATGAAGATAATAGTTGTAAAGTTACGAATTGTATTACTAGTGATAGCTGTGATGAAACTTCTTTCAATGTGAAAACCAAGTGCCACTATCCTTCAGCTGCAGTGTCTGACAGTGGTTCTGAGTTGCCTTCTTTAGGAATTCTTGTTGTGGATGACAGTCATGGTGCCATGAGCTCTTCTTCTAAAAGTGTCTCAAGAGTTGCAGAAAATGAAACCATGAAGTCTGTATCTGCCAAAATTAGAATGGAACGAACTATTGATGAAACGGAAAGTAGCAAAAAATCGGAGGAGTCTGAAGATTTGAAAGAAGTTTTGAAATTATCTTCAAGCTTAGCAGTTGATGTTGACCAATGTCCCAACAAATCTGAGGCTGCCTGTCTGATCACAACTTCTCCACCTGAATTGGAGGAACCGGGAGCTAGGAGGAAATCTGAGCCCCTACCTCCACCTGCAGCTGTAGTGCCCCCACATGAAGTCCTTCACAGAGTCAAGAAGATCAAATTCAAAGGAAAGGAAATTCCAATTATTACACAGAACAACAATGGTCCTTGCCCTCTACTTGCTATCCTTAATGCATTGCTACTTCGGGTGAGTTTTCAAAAAACAAAAAGGTTCAATTCGGAAATTACTGTATTTGATGGCCTTGAATCCCTTGATCCAATTATTTATTCTGAGATGTATTGAAACTATGACTTGATCCACTCTTTAGTATGAGCTCATATTTATTCTGGACCTAAAAGCTTAAAAATTACAATGACTGAATTTTGTTATTTTAAGGTTGTTATCCAGTAATGTGCATTTGTTTTCATTGTACTAACATGGGCCTTTTTTCCAGGGAGATGTTGAGCTTGGAGTTGACAGCAGGGAAGTCAAGGGTGGCCACTTGGTTAGCATTGTAGCAAATGCTTTAATAGATCTTGCACCGCGAGGTAACAATGCCAATAATCCCCAGCAGCAGAACCTTATTCAGCAAAACACCAACGATGCTGTACAAGTGTTGGATAAACTTCTCACAGGACTTGATGTCAATGTCAGGTTCTCAGGGTGAGTTTTTTTCATGTATTTTTTTCTGATCTGCTTATATTTGTGCTATGTGTGTTTGCTGTACTTGCTGCATACATTTAAATAAAGACAAATTGTTTACAAAACATTGATTAAGTAATGTGTAATTGAAGGAGCAATAAGTATCAATATTAAGGCAATTTAAATCTGCAAGCATGCACTAGGATGCCCTAGTATTGTGATGAAAATTATTTTTAAATTTCACATTTTACCCCATCGCCTTTACCTCATCATTTTACCCCATCTAATGAGAGAATGTGCCACATGAAATTTCCCCCAAAAAATTGACTGCAATTGTCACCAAGCAGCTCTGGAAATTTAAAAATCTTGTTTCTGTTTAATTTTACTGTTTTTTAGCATGTCTTCATATAATGTATGTTTTGCAGAGTCCAAGACTTTGAGTTCACATCAGAACTTTGTGTGTTTGATGGCCTGAGCATCCCACTCTACCATGGCTGGGTTGTGGACCCTGAGTGGCCAGCAGCTAAGGTGGTTCAGGAACTCACCTACAACCAACTCACCAATAATATCCTTACGTGGCGACATACAGCCGACCATACCAATGATGATCTCTTGATCATGAAGGGTGAGCGTTCAAAACGTAATTTGATTTATGAGTGAGCTTGCCACAATGTCCTTTGATTAATGCGGAGTGTGATCTGGGAAACTGTTGTAGGTTACCATTCATTTCTTTAGTGAATCATTCAGGGCAATCCACCAGCTAACACACTGTGCAAAGCTTCAGTTCATTGTACTGGTGGTATGTTTCAAATCTGATTTGAAATTCAAAGTTTTAAACTTATTGCTCTCAAGTTTTATGAGTTTCTTAAGTAAGGAAATTATGTTGGATCTACACCCATTTCATGACTAAAAACAAAAATTTTGTGTCTATAACATGGTTATGATATCTCTCATCACTTTCATGTTCAAATTAGAATCTGATATTTCAATTTGCATCCATCTTGCCTAACTAAAAAGTGGATCAAATGGTAATATACATAAATATAGTTTACTTGTGGTAGGTATTAAGGATATAGTTTTTGACATTTTATGCATTTCAATCTAATGCAGCCTAGATGCCTTGAATTATCCTACAATTTAGCCAAATCAGTGATTTTGAACGCTGGTGATTATCATCAAATGCTGCTCTGTTTGCACAATAGAAATCCAGTCAGATAAGAATTATCCTACAATTTAGTCAAATAATTGATTTTGAACGCTGGTGATGATCAAATGCTGCTCAGTTTGCACAATAGAAATATAGTCAGATGGGAGAAGACAGGACCAAAATAAGCAACAAGCTTGTGGCACCTATACCATGAATAAGTGAAAACCCCTGAACCTACCACATGGTGTATTTGTACAATGGGACCAGGTCAGATGTGGTAGATGGGACCAGATTGATGTTATTCCTTACTCGCTTCTTGCAAGTAAGGAATAACATCCACAAAACGTGGATGTTGACGGGTACGTTTTGTGCCCAACGTCCACGAAACGGGCAAAAAATATTGGTTCATTTGGCAGAGCTCATTTCCCAGATAAGGTTAACGATTTTCTGACCGTTCTTTGCTTAGTTTTTTTCAACAATTTGTCAAAAATTTATTATTTGCTGCTCAGTGTTGTGATGATCTCTGAAATGACCGGAAATAGCTGCTCTAACAGATTCTTTCATCAACCTAAATTCAGTGCAATTAGAATGCACGCCCTTCTAACAATGGGCTGGTCCCTTCTTACCCCATTTGACTATATTCTATACAATTAGTAATTGTAATTCAACAGAATTCGAAGGGTTTAAAATGTCACGATTTCTCTACTCAGATTATTTTTTGTTATGATGAAACAAAAATGGTAGGTTGTCATGCGTTCCCTAATCCTCAATAGTTGACAAAGCCTGCCTGCAATAGTGCTAAGTTAAAGCAATATTGCAGCTGTGTTGTGCGAGGAGTTCCTGCAATGCACCAGCTCCCAGCTGACGGTGCACGGGCTCTTTGCTCTCGGCAGCACCATGAGGGACCAGGAGGTCGCTGTGCTCTTCAGGAACAATCATTTCTCGACCATTTACAAGCATAAGGTTAGTTCTCGACCACAACACTTACGGTACAACAATCATTTCTCGACCATTTACAAGCATAAGGTTAGTTCTCGACCACAACACTTACGGTACATTTGTGAACGTGCGGCCTCGGCTTTGTTTTATCAAGTTAATCATGCAACAGAATTCTATAGTTCATCAATCCAAATTAAATAGGGATAAGCAACCCTTGAACTTATATCCTTTATTAACAGATGATAATTAGAAACTGCTGAACTACAATGTTCCGTCATTCATCCTCACAAGATTGCCTTGAAAGTCTAATATATAAAGTTAGAGCTATTGCCTACTGAAAGACCAATTACCATTTACCATTTAGTACCATTTACTTCTTACTAGCAAAGCAAGAGAAGTCGACTCGCATTACATAACTAACAATTCACAAACAAGGTTTTGAAAAGAACTTAATTTGCAGATTATTTGTCTTTTGAGACAATGACATCCAGAGATTTGTTGTTTATGTATTTATTGAGTTCAAGTGCGCTTAAACCAAGCATAACACTTCATGATTAAAAATGCACTATGTTACATATTTAATTTCTTTAATACGAGCTACGGTATAGCTATATATCAATTTTTTCTCTATAGTTCCATGTTTTGTCCTTTTCTGTTGATGTGTTATGATGTTGAGTGCCTTTCATCTCACAAGGCAAGGGATAGTTGCATTTGTACAAAATGTACCTAATATATGAGCATGTTTACTAGGACATGTAGTCTTTGGACATCATGAATTCGCTTGAATTGACAAATTATTTCATTCTGCGCCAATTTAAGTCAACTTGGATGTAGAAAATTTTTGTAGACTATTTTTGTTTATGTGCTAGCAACAGCATGTGCCCTAGAACTATAAATATGCCAAACCCGTAACTTGGTAAAAATCCAAAACTAGTATTAGCTTGAAAATCAGCAATTTAGCCTAAACGAGACCACCAGTGTATCCATGTAACCCTCCATATAATACATTTTCCGGATTTTCTTGAGCTCAGGAGCAGTTGTATCAGCTGCTGACAGACCAAGGCTTCTTGACTGAGGCAGCTGTGTGGCAGACCTTGTCTGATGTTGATGCAAGCTTCTCTGAGTTTGTGACGGATTCTTTTGAGCCTTGGCAGCTACAACCTCACACCTCACCAGCAGTCAGCATGACTCAGGAGCAACAAATGACATCGGAGTTAGTCTACCACCTAGATTCTAGATGTTATCAACCATGTTGCTTACATAACTTGGTTTGTAGTTTTACTATATTTATTGATAACTGATCGCAAAGATCTGATACTCTGTGATGCTCTAATTCTTCTTCTTTCAATTGATCGTCCAACTGTGGTGGCTTAGCCTGTCAACATGAAAATGTGTAATAGTTCATGTATGTTGTGACGTTATAATGAGCTTTGTGGAGACTGTGATTAAAGTATGTTTACTAATGTAATTTATGTATCATTTATAATAGGAAATTGCTTCATATAATTAATTAAAGAAAATAATTTCATAACATAATGAGGTTAAATGGAATTTCGAAATTATAAAAATCATATATCTCACATAATCACATTTAAGCCACTGTAATGTTATTGGGATACTGATCCCATTTATTGTTGATTTTTTTATTTATATGCCTCACTCTTGTCATATTTCTTGTACCGGGTACTCCTCTTCCTTGTCTCTCCTGGCCTATTCTCCTGCTTGTTAATAATATATTATTATTGCTGTTGTTACCATTGCTGTGTTGGGCGTCATGTCTGAACAGGTGCTAACATTCTTCTTGGCTTAGTAATGCGAGTCTAAGAAAAGAATAAACTTTAAATGAAGCGCAACAATAAATCTTACGTGTGGCCGCTGCCTTGTTTGTGTGTTCTGAGTCTTGCCAAATGCTAGTCCTTAGTTAAGGATGCTAATGAAGCCTGTGTGTGTGGGATGTTAAGGATGTTAATGAAGCCTGTGTGTGTGTGGGATGTTAAGGATGCTAATGAAGCCTGTGTGTGTGTGTGGGATGTTAAGGATGCTAATGAAGCCTGTGTGTGTGGGATGTTAAGGATGCTAATGAAGCCTGTGTGTGTGTGGGACGCAGCGAGCAGTTGGCTGCTGTGCTGCAGCAGGAGAGTGATCAGCGCTGCCGGGACGAGGAACTCTTCTCTGAGACGCTGCAGCAACTACATGTCTGAGTGAGTCTCTGCCACCTCACAACCTCACATACTGCCCAGTGAGTCTGCCACCTCACAACCTCACATACTTCCCAGTGAGTCTCTGCCACCTCACAACCTCATTTACGGCCAAAACCAAACATCTTTTTTTTGGATACATATGCGTTGAAAAATGAAAAGACATCCCGAGTAGCATATTAGGGTATACATGATCAATGTTCCTCATTTAGCATAGCAGAAAACGGATTTTTTGGAGACTTTCCTTCCATTTTCTGACGAGGAAATCTTTTGAAAACGTACATAAGCTAATTATTGCTTATGAAGACAACAATATTAATAGTTCAGCTAGTACATCTGAGGCATTCCATAAGCTCGAATTACTTGCTAGTGATACGTGGTTTACTTGCTTTGGAGATTTTTTTTCTGTCTTTTGCACATTTTGGAGTCTCGTCATTTTTATTGATTGATTTGCTTGTAAATGTTTCATATGTGATTTTAATTTATCTTGTGGGTGATGGGCTAAATATTCTGTTTTAACCTACACTATTCGTAACCTCCCATGAGCTATCAATTGATTTTTGAGAGCCTCAAATTAACAAGGCATTCCGTTAATGTGGCAACCTCGTCCTGCTTCAGAAATTATATGCAAAAAAATGAACCAATAGAAGTTGTGTCGTACATCAAAATTATGTCGTGCCTCTTTGAGGCAAATAAATGTATTGTCTACATTATATCGCTTTACGTGTTAAATTTACTTCCGCAATCTAATTATTTCTACGAAAAGAAGGTATTCGTTCCCTTTGCAACCGGAAATGAAGGTCAGAGTGATGGATATATTTATAACTATCCTCGAACTTGTAATATCTTTCATGCCTGGCGACTCCAAGTGTCTTACCTTGTCAGTTGTCTCTACGTTCATTAAATGTATTCAATTTGGAGAGCTCCTTTCATTATTTCGCCCTAGATTGTTAGCGAATTTTTATACTTGTATATTTTTTAGCGAAGAGATCGCCCGGCGCCTGCAGGACGCGGAAGTTCGAGCGGCAGAATCCGCGGCCCAGGCTGGGACGGGCGAGGACAGCGGAGCCACCAGGGCGTCTGTCGCACCTTCATCGCCTACCAAACCCAGCAAGAAGAAAAAGGATCAGGTAAATGAAATCAAAATATTTTCATGTAATTCGTTATTTTGAAAGGATCAGGTAAATGAAATCAAATATTTCTATATAATTCGTTATTTTGAAAGGATCAGGTAAATGAAATGCTATATTTTCATGTAATTTGTTATTTTGAAGGGATCAGGTAAATTAAATGCTATATTTTCTCGTAATTCGTTATTTTATTGCTTTCAACGTATGGGGTTGTAAGGATAATTTATTGAACTCATCCAAAACATCCATTGGACTTACTCCTTGTCGTAACTCGAAGGACTAAGATATACTTGCCTAATATTGAACAAAACGGCTGCTCTTTTGTTAATTGTTAAATTCTGTAAGATACGCCCACAATAGTTTTGATTCAGAGCTGGCACCATCACCTCAATGTTGAGGAGCTTAGACGTATACATGATGGGTTGACCATCGTGGCTTCATGACAATTAAAAGTTCATCGTAATTACTTAACTTACGTGAAGTCCAATCTTGTTTTAGTAATTAATTTTGTGACTATTTAATAAGTGCTAATCAATATTTGAAGAATATACTTCAAAATTATATTGTCTTGAATGATGTATTGTGCATTGACAATAATCATCGTTCGTTGTGTGTTACAGTGCTGCATTTTATAGCGAAGCACGCGCAGCTCGTTGCTCAGAGCTCCCGTCACCCACCGGCGGCCTTGTCCGCTCGCCTTCTTCAGACTTCGCTGCTAGCCCAACACCGCCTCATTTGTTCATGATAATGGCAGGATTAGCATTGTGACGAGTTCAGTACTTTATCAGGCAGGANTGAAGCCTGTGTGTGTGGGATGTTAAGGATGCTAATGAAGCCTGTGTGTGTGTGGGATGTTAAGGATGCTAATGAAGCCTGTGTGTGTGGGATGTTAAGGATGTTAATGAAGCCTGTGTGTGGGGTGCAGCGAGCAGTTGGCTGCTGTGCTGCAGCAGGAGAGTGATCAGCGCTGCCGGGACGAAGAACTCTTCTCTGAGACGCTACAGCAGCTTGGCTGTGATGCCTCAATGTCTGAGTGAGTCTCTGCCACCTCACAACCTCACTTATGCCCAACAAAAACCATACACATCTTTTTCGGATACAGCCGCGTTGAGAAACGAAAAGAAATCCCGGATAGCATACTAGGGTATACATGATCCATGTCTCTCATTTAGCATAGGAGAAATGGAGTTTTTGGAGACTTTCCTTCGATTTCCCGATGAGGAAATCTTTTGAAAAGGTATATCATCTACTTATTGCTTATGAAGACAACAATAATAATATTAACTACGTTCAGCTAGTACATCTGAGGCACTCCACAAGCTTGAATTACTTGCTAGTGTTACGTGGTTTACTTGCTTTGGAGAATTTTTTTCTGTCTATTGCACATTATGGAGTCTCTCATTTTTATTGATTGATTACGCCTCCGCAACTTTTGTTTCTGCTCATCGTCCGCCATAAAAATATAAGTTATTGTAAAGCTACGTCCCACGCTTACGTTCTTGATACTTTCCGTTCAGTGTGCGGTCTTGGAAATTAGCGCCAGAGTGTGATGTGTTCAATGTTCAGGTATCTTTAACGAGAGACATGTTAATATTTCAGCCGTCATTTGGAAGTGAAAATGATCGTACGAGCTGTCAAAATCGTTTTACTTTGAACTATATCTTATCTTGTAAAGAACTATATACATCTTGATTGAAATATATATAGAATATTGCTTATCAAGTTTTGAAGCCATATAAGGGGCCAAATCGATAACGATATTTCACATTACACTATAGAAAAAGTTATATCAAGTGGACTCTCATTAAAAATATTGCGATTCTGTCTTCTAGAAGAATGATAATTCCAATTCATCAACAGCCAAATTTCCCTCTGTACTGCTACTCTACTTTTAAAGTTCTTAAAGTAAAGTTCTACTCCTCTTTTCAAGTTCTTCGCCAAATTTCAGTTCGTTAAACCTGTTCATTTTCTCGCTCTTTAATCCCTAGTATCATTCATTGCTTTAAATTTTGTTTTCTTGGCTCTTTTCTCTCTTTTTTTAAGCAAATTTGCTAGACTTTTGCTGTGTTGACTCCGAACTAAGGAAAAAAGTTAATAGCTTCGGGCTTTAGTGTATCTGAAAATCTTCTTCCTTGTAGTTTGTATAACTTACTGCGATATGTTCCTGGAATAATTTCCTAATAAAGATAGTTTACGCTTTGGAAAATGGAAGATTTTTGTCTACCTGATCATCTTCACTGCAATGAATCGTGGAAGTTATCCACTTATTTAAGTAAACACGATTATTTTTAGGAACCCCCGATTGCGTATTTATAAGCCTAAGATGTGTTAAATGTTTTATGTTGCTGTGCACAATACGTGCATGTTGTGGCTGTAGATAATGTCAGATGTAAAGTAGCGTGTGATTTAGTCCTTGCTAAGTGAGTGTACCACGTCTAAAGTTTTATGCGATGAAGTTCTTTAGTAGCACTGCATTATTTATATTTTGTTTTCTCTTGTATTAGACATGACTTATTATGTAAATTTTCCTTTATATTTTGATTTTTCATAACTTATCGGATGATGTACATTTATATGCGTTCTGTAATAAAGTTTGAAAATTTTGCGTGCGGGTAAAATTTAATTAATATTGTATATTAAGCTTCCAGTTTAATCTGATATGTAGCCGTGCTCCTGTTAAATGGTTACGTCGTGTAAAAGGTTACGTGGTAAATGGTTACGTGGTAAATGGTTATATGTGAACAGCTATGCTTATTAACTACCAGTTTCATTGCTCTTTACTGAGCTCGTTTTGTGTTGAGTTTAAAGTGTTTGCCACCATAAGCCCTTTTGTCCGTTCTACTATAAAGGAAGCGTGCTATTCCTATACTATATAAGTCATGTCTTTAGATCTTCGTGCAATGGGCTGCTCCATGCTCCAATATATTTTTTATAGTTGTACCCACTTTGACTGGTGCTGGCTTTTTCAGCACCATGTTTAAAACACATAAAGCTTTCGCGGTGAGCGCCTTCCTACATCACACACTTCCGCCCTAGGCCTATACTTTAAAAAAGTTGAGAGATCATAAGTTCATCAGCCAATCATTGACGGCCTTTCGAGCAAAGTCCATTAATCATAGACAAGAAAATAGAGCGTAAGTACTTACGTTCACTTAGCAAGTTTTGAAAGTATGGCCCCTGGACGGGAGCGCTAAGTCGTAGCGTCTATGCATCTACCGGCACTGATTTGTGTGAACTGAAGGTTTATAGCGTTTCTAAGATTTTTGGTTTCTTATAACCAAAAACCTTTATTCCTCGGGCGCTATTTAAAGATAAAGTAATACCATCCTTGTTGTGATGGGATATTAGGCTCCTGCTGTCTACCAACGAGAATTTTACACAATAATTTGGTCCTATTGCCACTAAGTATTTTTATGGAAAATTTTTATTTGATGGTAACAATGATGTGATTGTTTTTTTTTTACTTCCATGAAAATGCGTTTTACTTGCGATTTTTTTCCAAAGATATCACATTTTATTTACGTTTAGTATTATAATAATGGACAACCATTGGCGCATATCACAACTCGGAGGTTTCTTGCGTAAAGTCTTGCTGCGTAATGATATACGTGATATACGTACGGTCCGTGATCTTAAGTCTTGCTGTGGAATGGTCTACGTGCGGTCCGTGATCTAGAAGCATGTGGTTCAGCCACGCATCACTCGAGTTGCGTTTTAAATTTGCGCACGTTATTAATGTGGATAGAGATTTATGCGGTGATTTCTCGTTACTAATTGTGTCTATCGTTAATTTGGAAGAAGATGACCGCATCTTTTGGAATGGCATGGGATTCGTTTTGTTTAAATCTATTTATTGCTTGCATCGGACGATGTTTATATAACAGAAGAAGCCTTACTGAACAAGACCCTGTAAGTATTTTACAACCCTCCATGTTTGATGTCCATGTTTGGTGAGCGACATGTAAGCGACCGTCGTTGTTGTTCATATGCGTGTAAGTAAATGCAGAGCTCTCGCTGCAGTCTTCTATTCCAGTCTTAAGTACCCGCAAGGATAATGAGAAACTATGTATATAATATATATTTCTTTATTTCACCCATCATTAAATACATATAAAACCAAGCATATGAATTTATATAAATCCTCGCTGAAGCAATAATAAAATATCTTCGATGCAGAAAATGCAGTCGTGCCTTAACATAAGTCATTTGGTGACCCGATAGTATTTAGACTTGCTACCATCCTATGGTGTTCTCTTCAATTGATCTCCGTATCATGAATTATGCCACGTGGCTTACAGTCGAACTTGTCGCTATGCAGGTGTACAAATTAATTTAATACTTTGCCATCGTTTTTTGGAATCGGAATTGCAAACTTTTCCAATATTTCATTTCAGAGAAGCTGAATGTGCATTTATATTATCATATTAGCGAGTCCTTTTAGCTATCACGCACAGGCCCTCTCAACAATGTATTAAGTGTTATTTCAGAGAGCATAGTAACTTGTAATTATTTCACTTCATTTATTCCCATTTTTACTTTGAAACACATGATGCCGATCTAAATTGACATAGCTGACTAAATTAACATTTTAAACGCGTTCAACAAAAGCCTCGTATCGAACTAAATGGGCTGGTGATTCTTTAGATACTGAACAATGGACAATAAATAAAACTGCTATTATTTAATTTTCAATTTCGTCCCATTTGAATTAAGTTGTGGAGCATCCGCATTCATTTGATTTGAACGAAAAATTTCAAACTTGTTCATGACGTTGACCGTAACAGGCTCTAGTAAATTGCTTGCATAGCTTCACACAGTCAAACACTGCAAACACTAGTGCAATAAATAGTTTACTGCATTAAATTAGCCATAAAAAAAACTATTGTAGCTCCGCTATGCTACCTGCTTACTTTCATGTCAGTCTCCTTCAGTCTTTATCCACACAAATCGACCTTATTATGTAATAGATTATTTATATTTATTTTTTTATTCATTTACCACAATGATAACCGCCACAATGAAGCTCGCACTTGTGAAGAATGGTTTCGCAGTCGCTCGACACAACACATGGCAGGCATTAAATAACTTTTAAATAAGATTATAGAAACAGTGGACTACCGACGAAGTGATCTTTTATTCGCACCTGATGTCATCAAAATAAATACCTCGATAAATCGTATCATCACATCATGATTCCTCTACATAACATAGTAACAGAACTATAGCAGCGCACAGACATCACTCGCTATGTAATTTCTGTTCAATTCCGTGTATCCCTTAAAGTCCAGTGAGAAAGTCTTCCCACATTACGGCAACAACATAAACGGCAAAAATCTAATTCCTTCAAGGTATGAAGTTATAATAAGGCACTCACGAAAGTGTACCTTGAGTCACATGTCAATAAGCGCAGTGATTTACCTGTAGCAATGAAGTCGCTCCCAAGACAAATAAGTTTTCCTTGCAACTAAACCGAAAGCAACGGCCAGCGCTTGTTAGTTTTTGTCAGTAAACTTGGATTAGGCCATCTGCTGCTACCATTCTGAGATCCATGCCTTGGTAATGAAGACTTCCTGGCTACAAGTTAGCGGACTTACGAGGATCAGTCCACTTGTACGACCCGTAATACTTGAAGTTGTTCTCAGCAAGCATCTGATCGGCTCTCTCTGGCCCCCGGGAGCCGTACTTGTAAGGGATGGGCTGCACGCCTCCCTCGTCGATCTTGTGCAGAAGTGGCGTGAAGATACGCCAGGCTTCCGCCAGCTCGTCTGTCCTGTTGGTGAATATGGTCGAGTTGTGGCGAGAGATATTTTAACCAGACGCCACGATAAATACTTCGTAGAATAATAATTATATTAATACTTATCTCTGCAGGACTGGAGGCAGGGAAACGTATAGCACGTTTCCCTGCGTCCATTCCTGCACGATATAAAACATTATTGAAATACGATTTAATACATTATTGAAATGAAGTAGTGAAAAAGTTTGATCTGTGAGAGCAAAGTGAGCCGCATACACAAGTGTAGAGAGCAGCGTAGGCTCGAGAGTAGAGAGTAGTATAGGGTCGAGAGTAGAGAGTAGTATAGGGTCGAGAGTAGAGAGCAGTGTAGGCTCTGGAGTAGAGAGCAGCGTAGGCTCGAGAGTAGAGAGCAGTGTAGAAACGAGAGTAGTTTGTGTTCCAGAGCAAAATAAATTAGGGATTATAAGGCCAACGAATGATAAGCAAATAAGAAATGCTGTACTACGTGTTTACGTAATAGGAAATAACTACCCGAGGTGAACTCACCCCAAAATTCTTTTGTCAAATTTATAAGGGCACTGTTCTGGTGTGCCACTGTCCAAGTTTATATTTCTGTCATAACCTTGGAAGGATCTGTCTGATCTATTGTAGATAAACCTGAGGGGTTTGGGTTCATTGTAATTGTCCGAATAACATATTAAATATTCATTGACCACGCTAATGACATCACGGCCTGACACTTTACCCAAGGTCGAGAATTCATGCAACAGTAGAGCAGCACTAATAATCGAGCGCAACGTACCTGTCGTGGAATCGGCTAATAAAGACGTGATAAAATGTTTCATTCTTTGGTTTAATTTGGTTAAGCCTTTCTTCAACAGTTATTATGCATTAAGGACACAATTCACGTAATGTAAAGCAGTACAAAGCCGTAAGTGCAAGTGAAGGTACCTGACGAAGTGCATCTGAGAGCCGCAGAACACGTCCAGGATGAGCCTCTCGTATGCATCAGGTAGCTTGGCGTGGCTGTAGCGGCTGTTGTAGGTCAGGTCCAACTCCGTCTCCTCGATGCCAAACGACATGCCAGGAGTCTTGTTGTTCACCTGCACAGAGTATAATACTCGTAACAAAACTTGCAATTAATTTCAACCAAATACGTTCATCCAATTTGATGATTATGGTCATTTTTTTCGGAAATAATTGCGCAGATAACTAAACATAGCGGTCCAGTTTTTCGGTGTGGCAGTTCTTTATTACAAGCTTTGCCTTGTAATAATAATATTAGTTCTTAATAATATAATAATAATAATAATAGTTCTTTATTACAAGCCAAACCTATCAGGATGCAGGATACAAATTCTGCCAGAACATGTCAAGATTGAGGCTTCCTTCGCCGACGAACACCAGGCCCCACCTTGCAGCACACGCCCCACCAGGCCCCACCTTGCAGCACACGCCCCACCCGGCCCCACCTTGCAGTAGATGGCCTCCCCAGGCTGTACGCGCACCACCAGTTCGTTGCGTTTCGACTGTCCCTTGAAGATGTCACCCGATACACCAGGCCCCACCTTGCAGCACACGCCCCACCAGGCCCCACCTTGCAGCACACGCCCCACAGGCCCCACCTTGCAGTAGATGGCCTCCCCAGGCTGTACGCGCACCACCAGTTCGTTGCGTTTCGACAGTCCCTTGAAGATGTCGCCCGATACGTCGCGGTATTGCACCCGCACCTCAGCCTTGCGTTCGTTCAGAGCTTTGCCTGCAAACGAAGATAATTAACTCGACTAGCAGTCGAATATTGCTAGCACAGCACAATTTGGAACTTTACCGGACGAAGAAAATAAAATCAAGAAATCGGCATATGTTGGTCGAAAGACATTTTCAGCCCCTACAGTTAAAAAATAATAACACGTCTGACTTAGTCTATCCACCTAACATTTACTAAACTCGACGTATTGATTATATTACACACGATACCGAATAATGCGCCAAACTTCTTTAGGAAAAAGCTTTAAAGTTTTTGTCGACGGATTTTTAACCGTCGTCAATGGTAGTTACATCTAAAGGATTGGTAGCTTGAGTTTCGGACATAGGGCTGCATAATTAAGGTGTGAACCCATCTAATTACTACTGCCTACGAGAGATAAATACTCGGGTTGAGTACTCATTACCATTAACTGTTTTTTGCACTAAATTATTGTACAAGAAGACGTCACTTATTATGGCAGAACTCAAGTTAGTTTGAGAGCTCAGAACAGGCTTAGAATTTATGTAGGAGAGCAAAACGAAAATGAGATTATTCAGTGATACAAAAGAGGGTCATTTGGTATGGAGAAGTTTTTTTTAACCTATTCTTCAGTTCTTCTTCAGTTGAAATATTCTTCAGTTAACTCAGTGGTAGAGTGTTCGCTTTGCATGCGAAAAGCCCCGGGTTCGATCCCCGGCACCTCCAGTATTTTTGACGGAGGAAGATGTCGAATCAGTAGGTCGAGATGCAGTTAATAAGCGGTGCGGTGTAGCTCTGCGTTTAAGCCAAATTATGAAATATTCTTCATCTCTTCCCGAGAAATAGAAAACTATACAAAGACAAGATGAAAAATATGCGTGTTGGCGTATGGGCTATCTACAAGGAAACTGATTATTCTTTGCGTAGTACGTACAAGCGAACAAAAATAATCATCCGTAACTTTCGGGTCCTTAAGATCCCCCCAGGTAACATACCCAGAGTGTTTAGGGACACACACCCAAGGCCATGCTGAAAGCACCACCTTATGACGGCGACTATGCAGGTCCACTAGCGACACCGAGACTTTAACTGAACTTCCCGGGGCTCGAACCCACGCCTAGCTCCTCCATCTCGGTGCCGCTCTACCGTCGTCACTGCGCATACAGCGGCCCTATAACCACTGCGCTACAGTGACGCAGAGATCATTTATTTGCAGGTCACTTGAGATCATTTATTTGATTCTTCAACTTTAAAATGGTAACTACTATGAACTTGTTTTTTAATAAATCTTAATGTAGTATTTTTAAGGAATGTAGGAATAAATTTACACTTCTGAGAATTTTTTAACAATTCACTATTTTGTACTCGCATATAAACTTGACACGCTTTTGAAGGATAACGTTAGCCGTCATTCGATTGTGCAATGTAGTGTATTGTAAAGACAAAATCAATGTCGTATGTAAATGAGCCTCTTTAACAGATTAAATATGAGTTTTGAGTTTTATTAGTTATTGCTCGTTCAAACCGGAAGAACATACAAATGCTAAAAAGTGTCACCAGTCAAAAATACGAGATTCGTTTGCTGGTAGGTNAATATGAGTTTTGAGTTTTATTAGTTATTGCTCGTTCAAACCGGAAGAACATACAAATGCTAAAAAGTGTCACCAGTCGAATTACTATATAGATTCGCTTGCTGGCACTTTGGTCGATAATTAGCTGCAGCATAGAAGTGAGCAATACTGCATTACTATGTTCTATCGCTGCATTTTCACTTCTATTTAGAGAAATTTGGATTCAATTAGGATTTCAAAACAACAATAATATTAATTATCCACCCTAAGCCTTTTTCTATGAAATTCTAACCCACCGACCACTGCACCCAAGCATCCTCATTTGCTGCTACAAAAGTTCCGTGGCGCTGACGTGAGTTAACGAACCTTGTAGTGTCAGTGTAGTATAGTTCACAGTGTAGTTCACAGTATAGTTTACAGTGTAGTTCACAGTATATTTCACATTGTAGTTCACAGTGTAGTTTACAGTGTAGTTCACAGTATAGTTAATCCCGTCAACCACATGGCGAAACTTTTGGCTTAAGCACTAAACGAAAAGGTCCTCCATTAGGCACTTCAAGACCGTCCGAACATCCGGCAGGAGGTAACAAGGATGCGAATTGCGACAACAAGAGACCATAAATCGACGGCACTGTGACAGTAATGTTACTTGAAAGTAATGACACACGTATAACAAATTACGGGATTACGACATTATGGTTATATACTTGTTAGAGCAAACTCGCGTTACATGCAAATTACGGGATTGTTACAGTTCAGTTACTAGTCAGAGAGCATCGTTATACGGCGATCATAATACGGCGCTTGCAGTTTATCAGAAGCGACACAAAACGATTACCGTATTTTTCTATTCTTTTTAGGTTTTTTAAAGATGAGAAATTCAGTGCGATTACCTCAAAACCTCTGTTAATAAAATTTTCTATACTTTCAATAAGTTTCCGATTACAGTTTTTTCTGGTAGAATGTAAAACTATATTGAATAATCGTTTCTGTCTCCCTTCTTTAAATTGTTGTTGTAATTTTAACAAAATTGCACAGTAAACAGCAATGCCGGCTAGGGGGAACAATAGAAATTCCCAGTCTCCTAGTTTACATGTTCATATCTTACCAATATTTCGGTGTGCTGTCTAGCTGTTGTGGAGGGATTTCAGTGCACACACAGCAGAATGCAATCCTAAATTTTGGCAGGATTCAGACTAACGGACTTCACTAGTTTTATGATATTATTACCCCTCCAATTAAACTTGCCTCTGATATAAACGACCGTAGAAACATTAAGTATATAGCAAAGAATAATTTCAATAATCATCACTCAAATGGCTGGCACTTTCCTTGGAATGAAGAAGTTTTCGAAATTGAAACATTTTTAGAACTTGAGAGCCTTTCTCGCTCAAAGCAAATTATCAGATTAAGAAGTTTGACGATGAACATTTTACTCTGTAGCGCGCCAACTTTTGGGCGAGCTTTTAGTTTGAGCCGCCGCACTTCTCCAAACATGATTGATGTTAAGAAGTGAGACCTTTCTTGGGACGTACGATTTATTGATCGGTAGCCTAGCTCCAATCTATACTGTCACCATTAGCTGGCTCATATGGCTTATAATATCTGGTGTATCGTTATATGTATACTAATCCGGTGTACTTCATTGACTTCTGTATATCTTCGGTTAATTCAACCTCTATCTATTTATGACGTTGATCATTGTGTTCTTTCTCACGAATGTAACAAAGCTCTGTATGGTCTATGTAAGCTCCAGAGTAATGAAATATAGTTTGCGCCCCTTAATATATTTTATATAGTTTTACATACTCATATGGAAGGGCCCGCGGGCAGAAACTTCGTATAAATTTGAATGTAGGAATTGTTCGATTAAGGAATTGTTCACATTTCGATGGCATCCTATTAAACACACTGAAACTTCACTACTCAGTTCGCTCGATACCTCGGATGAGTAATGAATCGCCAACTAATTTTCGAAAAGAAGGAATTTGAGTGATAATTGGAGTAACTAACGAAAGGAAGGAGGAAACAAAATTGCTGCGATTAAGCCAATAGGTCAAACAAATTTCGTTTGCCCTAACTTTCGTTTTCAAAATATTTTATTAAGAATATATTTTAGATAGTTTCATGGACTTGCTGAACACGAACAGAGCAAACGAAAGGAAAATATCAGTTGGAAGAACAGAATTCATTGTTCAACACAATTTCAATCGTTACAAAGGCGCATGCGGTAAAATTTCTGGTAGGTTAAAATGACTTTCGGATACAAACAAATTCCTGAGATAACCACACGTAAATGGGAACCCAAAATAAAAACCCATTGCGAGACCGCTGGCTTTTTAGCGCATTTCTCATCTAAGGAAAAAGGCGCTATTGTGCTCGTCATGTCCGTCCGTCTGTCTGACCGTCCGTCCGTCCGTGACCACGTTTTCGTCGACGAGAAAATGCGCTCTCTGTCAATCACTGCAGTGAGTAGGTACTGAGTTATTTTTTCTATTGTACTGCATCGCCTCCACAATACGAACAATCAACAGTCTCACCTGCACCCCACGCTCACGTAAAAAATACAAGTGTGATATTTGAAAAGCACCCGCTCGGCGAACAACTTCATAAAAAAAGTGAGCGCTCAGTAGCGGGAAGGCCTGTCGCTCACGTGTGACAGCCAAGCATGGTTGCTACCACTCGTCACCATTGAGTTAGGACAAAAAGAAAAGAAACATAGCGAGACTTGCATCGTTTACGTACATGCTACGCCTCAGTGACCAAGTTAACAAGTCCAAGGTTGTTGGAAGTCATCGAGCGCGATTACTATAAAGAACATCAGGGACAGAGCAGTGCGCAAAGCGGGAGAAAGTCTGTGTAGCTTCGCAACGCAGGCCGGAGTGTGAACGATCCGTCGTCCGTGCAAGCGGTCAACTGCAGCCTCGCTAACCGCAATGAACTACTCAACTAGAAAGTGAAAAGCACATGCAGAAATAATACAAATGGTGGGGATTGAAAGTGTTACACCAACCATCTGAAATGCCTGGTGGTGTAAAAAGATACGTGCGTAGCTTATATGCCAATTATAATACCGAGTACCTCACAACTATTCTAAAGGTAGCAATTAGTAGCAAGTGATAACTTTCCCTTTGAACCTAATACGAATATTCTGAACTGAGAGAGATGATTCCGAAATGTTAATTACGGACGTTTGTCAATTGTGCCATGTAAGTTAAAAAATTTGAGCGTTATCGTTCGGAAACTAAAATGACAGCCGGTGTACATTTCAATAAAGCCTTTAGAATTTACGTTTCGAATTCTTTAGTTCAAAATGCCAAAATATCTAATGATTAACCACAATTGGCTTTTGTCATGTCATCGTAAAGTAAACTAAATGATCCCTATAAATTAGTGAAGACTTATAACAAAGCCTCCGACGCGCGTACGACGCGAGTTCGAGGAAAGCGCGGCTGATTGACTGCAATTTAGAGGCGGCGGGTCGGATCGATCGACGAACAATAGGATACTTAGTTCTGCTGCACACAACCGCTCACTCATGGAGGAAATTCTCATTGAAGCGTCAGAAATTTCGGTAGCAAAAGAGAGAGAGAAAAAAAAGGAATATTGCGAGGAATGGTAAGAAGTGAAAATTCAGTCTCGTCTAAAACATTAATTGTGCTGATAGCAAAATGGCCTGCACAATGCCAGCGGCAAGTCAGCCTGCATTATGCCGGTGGCAAGTCAGCCTGCATTATGCCGGTGGCAAGTCAACCTGCATTATGCCGGTGGCAAGTCAACCTGCATTATGCCGGTGGCAAGTCAACCTGCATTATGCCGGTGGCAAGTCAGCCTGTATTATGCCAGTGGCAAGTCAGCCTGCATTATGCCGGTGGCAAGTCAACCTGCATTATGCCAGTGGCAAGATAGCCTGCATTATGCCGGTGGCAAGATAGCCTGTATTATGCCGGTGGCAAGATAGCCTGCATTATGCCAGTGGCAAGATAGCCTGCATTATGCCGGTGGCAAGATAGCCTGTATTATGCCGGTGGCAAGATAGCCTGTATTATGCCGGTGGCAAGTCAGCCTGCATTATGCCGTTGGCAATATAGCCTGTATTATACCAGTGGCAAGTCCACCTGCATTATGCCAGTGGCAATAAAGCACTTATCGAGTTTTCAAGGGAACCATGACACAACGTGAAGCACCAATGATAGGAACCTGATGTGTAAACCAGCATCCCTGCAATCAATATATACATAGCCGAGCACATTCTGAATACTACGCAACAGCAATTAAACATCGCTTCCTGATCACAGCAAATCCAACTCTAAATCCTCATTTAAATACGATCGAAAGGCAGCGCATCAGCGTGACCGTGGACTAAGAAGTCCCAAAGTCGTCATAAGGCCATAAGTTAAGAAACTTCACAAAATACCAGGCCAAACAAACCTAAAGTTCCTTCTATTTAAACTCGAGGTTAGCGTAAAACTCTCCGTCACGCGTAGATTTAACATCACAAAACCAACAAAACGCGAGGCCAAGGCTACGGTTTTTGAGTGAACCGCATCCTCTGATAAGACGAGCGAGTTCATGAGCGAATCTCCGTAACAGATAAGATGATGGCTCATTCGAGGCACACATATTACGACCTGCTGCGTCACGACCGAACCAGACTCTGCATACAAGATTACAGAGCTAACCGCAGTCATAACTTAGAAATGTTATGATAAGCAACGGTGATACTGCATTTCAATTGAAGTGTAACTATTGGAAAATGTACCTTGGACGGCTATCATCACATTATCCATAATGACTAATGAAAATTCTTGATGGCTGTCATTAAAGAAATAGCAATCAGCCCTGACCGCCGGCGGCATGCAGACAAGAAGCCCTCAAGTGCATTGTCTCGAGGTGAGGAGCTTGCGACACCGCGGCCGAGCGAAGGCCGCCGCATGCATACGACACCCCGGGCAGCCGCTGCAACGCCGCCGCTCGCACGAAACTCGGACGTGTGAGTGACGCGCCTTATACCATCCCCTATATTGTGGCCTCGACGCCTTTATATGACAGCCATTGCTTCTTGTGTGTATAAAAACAATAGGTTCTTTGTCACGAATTAAATAATTTATCGGGAAAATGGGACAGTGAATCGAGGATATGGAAGCAATTAATAAAGTTTGCATAGTGATCGCAATCGCCCTACACGAAATTTCTGTCCTGAAAAATATAAGTTTTCGTGCTCGGTAAGCTGACCCACGCTTGAATACATCATTTTTAAATCCCAACGTACAGTTCCAAAGATTGAAATGGACCTAAGAACACGAATTTTGTATTCCGTCAACATTTCCATGTTAAAATGAGAGCAAATTTATTCTCTACAAATAATAAAGCAAACAAGCAACTCATTCTTCGCCATGTCTCCGCGTCAATACTGCAACAAACGAACTGGTCAACGGAAACAAGCAAGGTTGGTACTTTCCCGCAAGAGCCCCGCACGAGCGTGTTCGTTCTGCCACATGATGGAGCGAGCTGTGTTCCCAGAGCAATGCAATCAACTAAAACAAGGCAAAGCTCGTCAAGAAAAAACTCCCAAACGGAGAAAAATTAAAGTGCTATTCACACGTGGCTGAGCCACATAAAATAAGTCACGTTCACAAATCAGAGAGGCACTTATCAAGCCAGGAAAAAATTGATAGAGATCATGAGAGAATTACAATTGCCCACTCACACGGTTTTTCGTGCATTAGGATGCATTTAATAATCATATCTCTGTTCATGGCGGGAATAGCGCATGACGTTGTGAATTTTATATTCTTTGGATTTGGCTACAGCAGAATAAAACAAGGGTTCCTTCGGGAGACCGGCTTTCGTTGGGAGTTTGGCGATGCATGTAGCAAACGAAATTGCATCAATCATGTGTAGACATGAATGAGACCAACACTTCTGTTCACGATTTACAACAAATCGAAATTAGGCTGCGCTGCAGTAATGTAAGTGATCACTGATCAGCTTTGTAAGAATGATTATCAAAATTTCATTCAACTTAGAAAAGGATGTATAAATGTTGATAATTTCTAATAACAGATAATCCTTTTGAAAGAACTAATTGCAAATTGTGAGCAAATTGGTTAAATGATGGAGTGTATATGCAGGGCACTCACAGTGTTAAATCGCGCATAGCTAAGTGTGAACGGCCCAAAGCTTCTCCTGAATATAACGATTCACGATAGCAATTCAACGTCACGAACAGAATCGAACATTTGTAATGCTATATTCATGTTGAAAAACAATAGAACAAAAGAGTACAGGCGAATATGCTCAATCAGCGTTATCGCCGCACCATTAGTACAAAAACAATGAATTTGCAAACTAAGTATAAAGTTCGTCAAAGGAATTGCTCAATGTTCGTCGCGTTCGGTGGAAGAAATGCAGACGAGTTCGGTGGAAGATCGCCAGACTGAGAATTGTGCCTCGCAAAATATGAGGTGCTTTAGTTATCAGTTGAACTCATCAACGGCCTGCGTGTAGCGCAGTTCACTGCCAACGCGCCCGTCATTATTTAGACTTATGAGAGATTCAGGTGTCAGTTTTCACTTACCGATCATAAAGAGGATATTTCAAGCTGAGCAGTTCTGTCAATGAAATATTTACCTTGACCTCAAATTATAGACTCTTCCTATTGAAGAAATAAGAGGATCTGGTACCTTGGCCTCAAATTATAGACTTTGTCCATAGATGAATTGAGTGGATATGGTCATGTCAAAACAAAATTATCGCTCATGCTCCAGGAATTTATTATTATACTAGGAAATATGGTCCCACATGTTATTGTGTTTCGAAATAACTTATACAATTAATAAGAGCCTTTCATTCATTTGATATTATATGTACAATTAAGTTGCACTCAAGTTTCATAATAAAACCTTAAAAAGCACACTAGTTATTCTCCTAGCGAGACATAGCCTAAAAAGTTACCAAAATATTCTGTATTACCTATAGAGAACCTAGCAAAAATATTCTGTATTAAACTAATGAGAAGAAGAACAGGCGCGATATTCACCACATCTGAGGATGAAGGGAACGCCCTCCCAACGCTCGTTGTGGATGCGCAGCACGGCCATCGCGTACGTCGGCGTGTTCGAACCTGCGAAGCACAACACCAAAGTAACGAGTTAAAATCTTACTCAAAAATGCGCCGGTATTTGTATTCACGTCCAGGTTCATACATAACAATTTTAAAATATGCTGAATACAAATACAATGCAAGAAGCGGCCAACTAAAACGCACAATACTATTCAGCGCAGAGCATTCTAATATTAAAAAAAAGAAAAGAAAATATACCACAAAATTAACAGGTACGAATCGCACAAGCAATATAATAAAAAAATTAGTAACTTATTTATTAATTTTTCACTCATCTCTGCAACGTTAAACCTATCGTTGTAATACTTCACATTAATTAAATGATCTCATCAAGATAAGACTAGCAATTACTTTAAAGAAATTTGTCGTACGCGATAGTTTTCTTAATGTTGACTTCTTTATTGGTTTCATCTTTAATTCTGTAACGTAAGACTGAAGCTAAAACAATTGATTCATCAACGTTAATAGCGTACGGCAATAATCAAGGAGGGGCAAAACATTTGCAGTCAATTCCCGAACGTGGAACCATGTACTCATGTATAAATCATAGTGCGGATACGATGAATAACTAAAAGGTCGACAAATGAAACAATTTCTGTACAAGAGAGAAGAACTGCTGACATTATCACAAAAATAACTCTATGAAGCACAACCGGCAAAAAAATCCAACAATTGAGCCACATCAGCACACCTGATAGTTCCAGCAAGCCAGTAAAGGAATAAGAATTAATAAGAGACACACCGGCCAGTAAAGGAATAAGAATTAATAAGAGACACACCGGCCAGTAAAGGAATAAGAATTAATAAGAGACACACCGGCCGGCACTGTAGGGTCGTCAAGGTAGCCCAGTGCAGCGTCCGTGTTGGGCTGAGCGTCATCAGCAGCGACGTACTGGCCCAGCACCACGTCTGGTAAGTCAATACTCGCGATGCTCTTAAGAACCTTCACCTGTGCAACACAACACTCACTCATTGCTGTACATATTCATCGTATAATCTGTGCGTTTCGGTATATGAATTACAGGCGATTATACGAGTATAATCGGTATAATGAATATACATACTCGTATAATCGCGACTTGCATACAATACAATCGTTTGACTTGCATTTACACAAATCTTTCGGCATTTTTGTATTGCTCACACAAGTTTAACCGAGTGTTTATATTTACATGCGTATAAACTATAAATTTGTCCTAAATGTAAATTCTTACTTTTTTTAGTACTCAATAACAATAAGTATCTTTCGATATTGTTTCATAGCAGAAAATAAAATCGTGAATGACAAACTGCAGCAGTAACCTGACCATAATATGTTAGTAAATATGACTCGAACGATTGGGTTAGCTGATGAACATAAATATACATATACAACTTCATTGCCCTAGACGACAGCATGATAATACATGAATTTTAGTCAGCAAACATAATTACTATAATGGCTTTCTGTTATAGTAATTATGTATGTTAACAACCTGTTGAGATGTCTGAACAAGTAAACAAGACAAGTTCTTCTCGCACCGAACATTCCATTTATAGAAGCAAGTGGATAAAGGATCGTACACAAAGCGAAGGAAGAAGATATTCCGGTAACATGAACTTGAACTCAGCGTAAGAAATGCAATGAATGCCGCGCAATGAACGTTGCAACAGAGCTGTACAAATATTAATGGTTATTGGGAAATATTCGGGAGCTGCAATAGAGCGGAAGGTGACCTCAATGAGAGACCACACCCTGACAACACCACGTCCTTAAACTGCACATCACCACACCACATCCTCGTGCTGCACATCACCACACCACATCCTCGTGCTGCACATCACCACACCACATCCTCGTGCTGCACATCACCACACCACATCCTCGCACTGCACATCCCCACACAACACACGCAGCACTCAAGTGACCTGTCATACGCAGCACTGAAACTCTATCATCGTAACAATTCATCAAGCTATACAAGTTTTTCTACGGTATTCATGACTTTATTTTCACTTTCCCCTTCATTGAAAATAGAACGTCTGCAGCTAGCAGCATTTTGTCACCAATTGTTCGAATAAAAACCTTTCATTATCGCCACTAATAATTTCGTCATAATGCCGATACTTAAAGAAGAGCTTCATTTTCGGTTGTGTTATTAGCCTCGCAAATATTCGTCAACAAAGATCGTTCATTACACATGTTGAGCTATAAAACACGCTTTGAAAGTATTTTCATCTAGAACGCTAACTAAAGAATAAAATTGACAACATTACATATCTTGAGCTATAAAACACGTTTTGAAAGTATTTTCATCTAGAACGCTAACTAAAGAATAAAATTGACAACATTACATATGTTGAGCTATAAAACACGCTTTGAAAGTATTTTCATCTAGAACGCTAACTACTCCTATGCTGCGTAACATTCAAATCGCTTAGATAGAACTGCGATCGTTGATGCACAAGCTCGTACTGAGCAGAATTATCTCAAGCGTTACTAGCTGGATTGAATTAATTCAGAACGTAATAACAGGATAACGTGGCAGCATGAATATAGACGTTTAGCGTCCGGAAATTTCTAGCACGTCCCTCTTTTATACTTTTCGAGCAGCGGTGAGGCGAAGAATCTTGACTTGCGGCCTCTCCAAGGTTAAAGCGTCAGTGGCAAAATTCGTTACAGACTCGCAGGAGTTGCTTCATATAAGCTCATGAATTGATTAATTCGCTTTAGACAAGACAAGTGATTATAATCCTAATCCGAAGTCAAGGACTGATCCACGTCTATAAGAACTGCCGAAGAAGTAAAGCGCTGTATGGGTTGCGAAAAATGTTGAGCAAGTCGATCACACCAGTCAGAATTACTGTAAAATATTTCAATTGAAAACAGAAAAGATGATAATATCCTCATTTTTTACCCAGATAAGCTGCGAAATACCGCAATTTCGGGTGGTGATCCGAGGCAAGATAATTAAATTGTAGAGTTAATTTTCTTATAGTTCGATTATCGTTGCATATAAAACGTTCCGTGTGGACGAGAAAACTGCGCAATTTTGAGATTATCCGACAGCTTCTATGGAGGATGTGTGGCTGATTTTACAAACTAAAGAACAAGTAAATATCCGATTTGAACGAGGTCAACTAGATTTAATCTAATCAAAATGAGTGTCATCATAATAATAAAATAATCAGAAAATATTCCCAAGTATAAATTCGGATCGCTATCACTTTTTTGTGCGCATCAAAAAGTGAAATGTACATCTTCTAAACCGCCGTACTTGCGCATCCACTCAATGATATAGTGATGAACCTGATCTCCATTTTATTATGAGCTATTGTGTGAAGACCCTTAGACGCATGCCAAAACATTTACTTTCTTTATATTGGAGAATTTAATTTTGACGTTGGTTGTAAATTTTTATTCGCCATTGAAGCAAAATCACATAATAATATGCGTTTAAAAATTACTTTTTAAAGACAACACTTTTAAATAATCCAGTGTCTCCAGTGTTACACATGTACAATGAATTTCTAATTTCATAATGAAATAATAAATAATTATTTTTAATTTTATTCTTATAATAAAAAATGTAAAAATTTTCAAAATTATTTATTCTGTCAATTGATACATGCATTGTCTCCGACTTTATACAAGTATGCAAAATTTCAGATTGATTGGATTCAGATCGATTATTTTTTTTCATTCTTTTAATATCAAAAATGAAATTTTTTACATTTTCAAAATTATTTATTCTGTCAATTGATTCATGCATTGTCTCCAACTTCACACAAGTGTGCAAAATTTCAGATCGATTAGAGAGGTTGAAGTGTGTTAAATATCGACTATAAGATTTGTAGCAGACAGACAGACAAACAAACAAGAAGTGAAGTTAAAGAGAAGTGTTGTAAAATGAGCGTAAGTGCCCACCTTCTCATCTCTGATGTCATCAGCAGACGTTGATGAAGGTCGCTCCATGCTGACGAGGCAGAGTATTTGCAGCAAATGATTCTGCATGACGTCCCTGATGATGCCGAAGTCGTCGAAGTAGCCGCCGCGGCCCTGCGTGCCGAAAGGCTCCTTGAAAGATATGAAGACGCTTGCGATGTTGTCTCGGTTCCACGTCGGGCCGAAAATCCGGTTACCGAATCTGGTCAATGAGAGAAAAAGAAAAATTGTTGTTGAACATGTTGAACTGCAAGTTTTTACGCGACTACAAACGGTCGTGTGACAGATTAGCTGATGAGAGAAATTGTTACATAGCATCAAGATGAGCAATATCTTGAGATAATGTATGTTCGTTAGAAGGCACTACCAGACAAAACTTAGGGGCAATTTATTGACACTCGTTTCTCGATAATTTAAAACTTGAATGAAACAACACAAAAATATACACACATCTATGATAAAAATAAAAGATAGTTCAGCCATACACTCAAGAAGGCTAGATAGCAAGGCATACCAAGACAAACTAATGAATACAATTTTGTTGACAGTGATAATGGAAACAAAAGCTCCGATTCGCTTGCGGCAGGATGCAGAAATTCTCAACAAAAACCGCGCCGCGAAAGTAAGCGACCTATACTGTCAAGCTCAGCAGACGACCACACCCGACGTTTCAATGTACATTTACATTCGAAATAATTGGCTACTCAATGAAGCCGCATACGGCGCAGCTGTGTGGGGCACCAGGCCAATTATTACTCGACATCAAACCTTTGGTTGGAAAAAAAAACTGCCAGCTGCTCTCCGAGTAAGGAATACTAAGAAGAAATTCATTGCTTTCTTGTCGACATCTTGAGTTAATTTATCAAGCGAAATTTGATCTCAACATCAAACTTTTATGCTTTATTAATGCAACAGTAATTCTTTCTACATAATTAATTTTTCATGTGTTATAATAAATTAACAATGCATCTTCGAGGACTGAATATTATCCGGAAAACTTGTTGTTTGCATTCGTCGGAGGTATTTCCTGACATTCATGTGGCAGCTTCTTCTCATTGAAGCAGTCTTGATAAAAAACAATGGTAATGAAAAGTCATTTTAAGATGATTCAGTAGTTATTGTCATCAGAAGTGCAGTCTGCACCAAAGAATGCTGATGCTGACAACCAAATCGTTGCATGGTGCTTAATCACCTGTTTCAGTCACAATATTTTTAAAAATTATCCACGTTTAGCGCTGCAAAAATTGGTACATCAGACTTTTATCCATAAGGTCCCTTATCTAACATACGACCAACGGGTTTAAGATAACTACACTGATATGGTGGTAACTCTTGATAAATGTGCATTTTGATACATTATCCTTTAGAATACAAACACAAGCGAGATAATGCGGTGAAAGGCAATATTATTTTTCGTGTTCACGCCATTGCGATTCAAGTGGCGACGATGTACCTATATCTAAAATCCTAGAATCATCTTGACTGATACAGAGTAAGATTATTTTAGCAACGCAATAGATTTCATGCAAGTCATCCATGAACGTGCCTAATACAGCAGTCTTTTATTCATATCAGCCAATCAAAGGAGCATTTCAGATTAAGGAAAACGTACTTGATGCAAAACCTTCAATCGAAAGATGCTAGTCTGCCGTCGATAATTTTGAATGGGCGGGATAATTAACAATTGAACGAAGCAGTACCTATATATAATTACTTGTAGCACAAGTAACAGCAGAGACGTAGAAAACAAGTAAACATTAAAACAAGATACAGGCCGGCAATAGTTCATGCTGTCATCGATTTGAAGTTTTAAACACTTGTCGCTGGATTGTTTGCATTAGTATCTCAATTACCCGGCAAAAACTCTGTGATGATCGTAAAGTTTACTACCAGTCTTCAGCGTCCATATGTTGATAGACATATACCTATATTTAATTCGGGGCACATTACAGTGGAAAAATTAGTAACCATTTTGCTAACATCTACCTAAATTCAATAATTTCGATGGACAGACTTGGCTACTGATGAACTCCGTGCTGTAGCCTGACTACAATCCTCCCACAGAGCACGAGTCTTGAGCTCATCACACTGGTTTTAGGAGGCAATAAGAAGGAGTTTCGAGGTAACGTCTGCACGATCTTCCTGTAGAAGCGAGATTTTAATTCGCCGGTGGTAACTGTGCTCGCAACATGAACAACTGGATGGAACGTGTGATGTGACGTTGAGCGACCGACGTGGTGATTGTACGGTACGTACGCAACAAACCGAGCTGCCACGTTTAACAAAATGCAACATGGAATCATTAGTTTACAAAGCATGGAATTCGACGATCTTAAAACGCTATTTACTTTAAGCATTCTGATGCATACAGGATTTATAAAAGTAAACTTCATGCAAATTATCCCATGCGCAAATTTAATGAAACTTTTCCAAGTTTAATTCAAATTAGCACGCTTAGATGAAATTTAGGTTTATTGACATGAAATTTTCTATTTGACCACGCATTTACTATGCTAGAGTTAATTCGAAAAAATATTCCATAACTGATCATATAATATTCGTAGGTACCGGTATGTAAATCGGCTGCAAAAGCTTCGCCATGATAAGGTTACGTTTAATTGAATTTATGATCAAGCTTGAGAATCATATAAATAGATAATGCGTAAGAGTATAATTGATGCCAATCGAAAATAATCACAATTTACAAGAATGTTGCCTGTAACCAAAACTTTCATATGAAGCGTTAACGGTACTTTCGAAAAGGAACAAATGTAAGCAGCAACATAAATGACCTTGACTGTTCCCAGCTATTGCCTTATCACATGAAGCTGATAATAGGCAACTGAATACTTCACCTTAATTTAATTTACTTTTAAAGTTAAGTTATTACATACTTTAGAGTTTAGAATATACATAAAAATTTCAGTATACATCTCAGTTTTGCCAAACTAATCACAATAGAAATTTTTATATAATCGCAATAAAAAAAACCTTCAGCAGAATCGAAGTATAAGTAAGAGTAATCTATGAATTATTTTTATAATTACCTCAGGGCCATTAAATTTTGAACCATTTCCTTTCCAAGATAGTGATCAATGCGGTACAGTTCTTCTTCCTTGAACAAGCCCGCTAAGTGACGAGACAGTTTTTCCGACGAGGCAGCATCACGTCCAAATGGTTTTTCAATAATTACTCGGGTCCAAGCCCCATTACCCGCCATACAGCACGCTCGGATATTCGAAGTTACGGGCTCAAACACCGACGGTGGAAGAGCCAAGTAGAATATTCGGTTTGCTTTATTTCCGCCCAGTTTTGTCATTTCTTGGTTGAGGAGTTCAAAATCCCTTCGAGCATCATAGCTTCCTTTTACGTAATAATTAATGTTCCAAAATTGTTCCAAACGCTCTTGTTCTTCAGGTTTTGCAACAACAAATGGAGTGCACTTTTCTCGAAGATCCGAGATAGTTAAATTAGACCTCGCATATCCGACAAAAATAGTATTTTCTGGTAACAGCCTATCCCTGAAGATCCACCACAACGTTGGATAGATTTTTTTCTTTGCAAGGTCGCCGGATGCACCCATAACCACAAATACGTGTGGAACATCTTCTTCCCAATTGGAATCGCCCGGTGTGTGGCATGATTTTAGGCTCTGTCTGATGAGAGTCAACATCTCTTCCGCAGCCACGGAGTCACTTTTCTGCACTGATGCATGCTGTCTGGCACTGTGAAAGGGTTTAATCTTGTTTTCCATGTTGCTCTGTTCTTTTGATACGCAACGATAACAGGGATTCGCCGGTATATCTATCACTAGTGGAACTCCACCTCCCAGAGCACTCGACTCACCGCCGATCACTGCACACGAATTGCCCAGCTTGAATGAACGAACTTTCGCCTCGAACTAGCTTTAACTTGCACTGCGAAGGACGTTCGCTGATCACTGGCGATGCAACACCAAGACGGAGCTGGAAAGGGTGCCAGTTAGGCATTTGCATCGATCAATAGATAAACTAAAAAATTCTGCAATTACGTATGGTATTCACTCAGCGTGCTGATTTAGTGGGAATGATAATGACTGGCTTTCGCAATTTTTGTTTTCAATGATTTCTTAGTAAAAATTAAATAGTTTTACATTATTCGACTCATTTATATCTTGGTGTATATGATGACTTTGCCAGATATGATTTACCGATAAACTTGAAATGATGCTGATGAAGTTGAACATCAAGACACGTATGTTGACATTGAATTTATTTGAGTGTAGTAGATCAAACACTCTCATAATTGATCATCTTATTCAAATTCTCAAGTTTACTTGAACGCAAGGTTGTAACAAGATGATCGTAAATGGTGACAAAATACAATAATTATGCAGATTTAGCAGAATTGTTAAACAAAAGGGATTATTAAAAATTCATATTATCAATCAATTCACAATCCTGTAAATTACTCAAAGTAATTCATATTATCAAATCCTCGTTATTTGGTCTGTGTTTTAACAGAGTAGCCACCTGGTATATTTTCATACCAGATTTCCTAAATCTGGTATGTTGAGACGGTGTCTTGTATAAATATTTTTATTATATTATTATTATACTAGTCAAATCTATATTACATTTTTATATTTACTAAAACCTATTATATTTCTGGTATGTTTAGTTCGATTGGAATAAATCACTATATTTGTTCAATTTAACTTTTTCATCGGGCACAAAATCGTGTTTTTAGTTGTCACCTGAGAAATTTTGTTAAAATATCCACTTTTGTGGAAATTAACCCTCAAATCATTCCAATGGCTTCTTTTTTAACAAAGGCTTCTACCACACGTTTATATAACGCTGTAAAAAAGTGCTGTAGATCCCAGGTAAATAGTGCTTGTCTTGTGAATTATTAATAGGAGTTTTTCTGGCATTTATACCAATTTCAATGTTGACCTTATTTTACTTATAGTTTCATTAATTTGGATGATAAGCCATATACAGTGTGAAATTCTAGGTATGGATGTTCACTTATAGAAAAGTTTTCCACATAGCCTAGGTGGAAAGCTTTTCTTAGATGCATGGAGGACGACTCCACATCCAGGCTCACTAAACGAAAAAAAAACTTTTCTTGTAAGTTGTATACAGCACTCTGCCAGTGCCAGCGCCAGGTGACTGATGTCTCCACGTCTGACTGGTAGGTATACAGGAAATGGGGGATCAAAAGTGGACAAACTTACAATTGTGTAACACCTCAGATTTGTTAGGTATAGCATTGTTTTGTTGTCTCATGTTTGATATTTTTTATTTTTATTTTATTCGATAGATTTGTTGAAAATTTTTAATGCCCTTTGTTTGTAAATTTGTAATTGAGTTTACCTAAGTTAAGTTAGTTTAATAATTAAGTTAACATGTTAAGTGTGGCACGACCCACCCGTGGGTCTGGGTCGTAGCCAATATCCCTCTGCTGCGAAACGACCCACCGGTGGGTCGTTTATAAAAATAATATCAAATTTTGATAAGAGCCTCAAAAATTAGTTTTATTGAAATATATAGCTCAGTTGTGTTGATGTCATTAAATAAAGGTTTGGAATAATAGAAAATGAGTTTTACTAATTTATTTAGGTACCAAATAAAACATATTCATTATTTCCAGTTGCAAGATTTTAATTTGAGGAAAATACCCACGAATTAGTCCTGATGGTGTGCATAGTGACAAAGCAGAGAATTTTTTAGACTCTCTCTCAAGTTCATTTTTTAGTCCTATAAGTAGACCAGTAAAGTATCATGGATACCAGCATTATAATACTCAAGAAATTGGTTTAAATCTTGAGTTTTTGAGGAAATTAAAAATGAAGTGATTCCAAAAAAGCTCTGGTTTGCCACTATGATGGTGTGAGCTAAAACATGACCAGCACATAAATGGTTTTCCTGGGCATCCTTTACAAAAGGTTGATAATTTTTTGGCCTTTCTATCGGCAACTTTTGATCCTTCTGACTGGGAGATCATTTTATAGCATCCCACACAGCGCTTTCTTGTCTTGCTTTTTGAGCCAGGAGCTTTGTTCAAGCGATGGGCACTTGTCTTGCCGCCTGTTTTTTGAGATTGTTCTTCCATCGGATATCCATACAGGAGTGAAAAAATAAGAGATTCTCTGAATTTTACGATTGTCCATTTGTGCCGCCCACTGCAGTATTTGTTGAAAATTAGGAGAGCGTTTACCACAGTACATCCACACAATAGTTCCAAACATAATTTCCTATACCATTTTCTAGATTTTCTCAAAGGACTGTAGTATGAAGAAAACTGGTCTGAAAGATCAACTCCTTTTTTACAGGTATTGTAGTCTAGAACACTGTCGGGTTTCATCACATCTGCTCCAGTTCTTGATTTTTTCCCTGTTGTTCTTAGAACATCTGTATGCTCAGGGACTGTAGACAAAGTTAGCACATTTCTTTTATCCTTCCAGTTTAGGACTTTTATGTCTTGTTCATTCTTTTTTCCAACAATTTCTCCCCTTTTCAATTTTGCTTTTGTCACCTCAACTGGCAGTCCTTTGCGATCGGAATGGATGGTCCCACATAAGTATGTCTTATGATCCAGGAGGAACTTTGCCAGGGGAAGGGATGTATAATAATTGTCTGTGTAGACTGTCATCCCTGTGTCTAGCAAGGGGCGCATTAGTCTAGCAACTACAGACTGCTGCATAGTGTCAATCGAGAACATATTTTTTTTCTAGGGTAAACATACAATTTCTGAACGCAAATTAAGCATATGCATTGCATTACAATTTTATGAACGCCGATGGTAAACAGTCAAAATATAACTCAGTTTACAAATAAATTTACATTTTAAAAAATTAGTTCTTACATATCTCTGTCTCCAATGTTAGTAGGTTCTGCTCTGCTGAGACACATAGTGGCAAAGCAGAGATTTTTTTTAGACTCTCCCTCAAGTTCATTTTTGAGTCCTATAAGTAGACCAGTAAAGTATCCTGGATACCAGCATTATCATACTTAAGAAATTGGTTATGCTCTGCTGAGACGACAATGCAAGTTTGGTACTGGCAGCGCAGGCATCAACAACCACACGTGGCGCCAGTTCACATATGTCTGGCAACAACAACACTCGTTCAAAACTTCACGTTCAAAGATCAGATTTAGAAGTTGAGTTCGTTCAATGCTTTCGAAAAAGATGCTCTAGTTTGTCATAGCGGAGAACCAAAGACGTTCATTCCTTTCTAATCCGCATCCGCACTACTCTGGATTTTGTTTTCAATTCAATTCCTAATTTAGAGCAAACTCTTTGTTGAGGGATTTTTTGCAATTGACATATCGATTTGACACCGTGTATGATATTTTAAAACAAATTCACAGAACTAAGTTTCATAGCACTTTTTCCACGCATAAGTTTATGAAATCAAAACTGAGTGATATTTACCAAATTAAAAACGAAACTATTCACTCACAATGCCCTTGTGCGAGCATGACCAGGTATTTCTGTTTCTACTTTAATTTTAATAAATGTGCTAAATGATAATTTTTTTGCACTTTTTCCCGCTAAGATCTTCAAATCTGAATCGATCTTGACATAAGTAAATACGTATCTATTTATTGGCAATATGCTACTGTATGTTCTGGAAGACTTTTTATTTTTATTTGCACGCCAGATTTTTTTATGAACTTGGCACGTATAATTATTTCAAATCCAAACCAATTATGACCTAATTAATAATGAAGATGTTTATTTACAATACGCTGTTACGAGCGTTGTAAGAATTTACTTTTTATTTTAATTTTGTGTCAGCTTCATTTTCGCATGTGTATATACCTATATTCTTGGTTTTGACGTTTTTAAGAGTGTCACGAAGCCTGTTGAATTCATCGATGATCTTGAGATGAAGTCCCTTCTTTGTAATACTTTGAGACCTAGTCTGGTTGTTAGCTTGTCTCAGATGGTAATTGAAACGGCAGTTCAATGTCGTAGTCGTTACTGCAATTACCCGGATGCAATCCAAATAATGAAGAAGTCTACAACCTTCTTTGAAGCAAAATTTACAGATTTCAAACTTCCTCTTGGAGAACTTCCACTTTTTTGCATTTGCCATTGCTCGGTATGGTCCAGGGTTTGACGTTGTTGTCAAGGTTGTCACGGAGCCAGTTTGATTCATCGTCGATCTTGAGATGAAATTGCTCGATTGTAATACTCCAAGACCATTTCAGATACATTTTTGAGTCTCTGGTTTTCATATTTTTGACCTCACTGCTGATTTTTCTTGCAATTGGTTCAGTTCTGTGTCTCACAGTAATCATTTTCTCTCTTGCTGCCGGGTCTTTATTGCAAAAATTAGTTTGAGATGGCAGAATTTGTTGATTTATACGCGTGCGATTAACGACCAGAGAATAAATTGATTTAAATTATCAAAGAGTCGGACAATTCTTCAGATGACGTTGGTAGATCGAAAGGCATATATCAAGAAGTAGTTTTAGTTTATTAACGACGTTTCGAATGTAACAAACATTCATTTTCAAGTTACAAAGAGCATTGAAAGAGCTATGTAACTTGAAAATGAATGTTCGTTACATTCGAAACGTCGTTAATAAACTAAAACTACTTCTTGATATATGCCTTTCGATCTACCAACGTCATCTGAACAATTGTCCGACTCTTTGATAATTTAAATCAATTTATTCTCTGGTCGTTAATTGCACGCATATAAATCAACAAATTCTGCCATCTCAAACTAATTTATATATACTTGTAGAATTTTACAGCTAATAGATATATCAATTGCAGTTTGTGGCTGCTGTATACAAAAGTGCTAGAAGTTCACATGCAAATACATTCTTCTTTGAATTTGTCATACTTCCATTAGTGTT